CCAACAATATAGTGAATGGCTCAGCACTGAGGATGCTTTTGGATTACGACTCATCTCCTCAGAGCTGTGCAATATTTGTAACAAACTGCAAGATTTTCCCAATTTCCAGAACAAAGCAGTTCTTATCAGTAAGAGACAAAAGGTCAAAACCTTTTTTTTTTTTTTTTACCTCCCCTGATTTTTGCCTCTTAATTCTTGACTGTTCTGAAGAATGGACTTAAATCGTAAATTCCTGAAGGATTCCTGCTTATAGCTTCTTCCTCAGCCTTCTCTCTGATCTGTTCTGCACTCTTTCTGAATCAGCTGATGGGAAATCATCTATAATCACCAATTTCTCTTGTCGGGTGACCTTCTACCTAGTCTCATGACCATAAAACCAGTTGCTGGGGACTTTTTCTTTTCTAAACACTCGCCTGAAATTCAAAGTTGAAGAACCACCTTGCTTTGAACATTAATTAGAGGCATTATTTCTGTGCAACTTGACAGTCTGGTGAAAAAAATAATTAAAATCTTACCTTTTTACCCCTCTCTCCTCTTTATTTCCTAGAAAGACACCCCCTACCCCTAAAAACAATCAATCAATCAAACAAACAAACAAACAAAATGAAACACAAAAAACCCCAAAGCTGGAGATTCTGAAAAAAACATATCTAGGAAATCTGTGCACGTAGTCTACTTAAAAGAATGAGAAGTATCTGATGTTAGGTGTCCTTTGCTCCCATATAGCCGTCAGCAGCAGTGGTATAAATCGGTATCCTGAGCTGTGTGTTTATGCAGACTGAGATATGTGACTACTTGAGAAGTGTATTCTGCAGTTTGGGAAACTCTATGTTGCCTTGAATCATAGTGCTCCCAGATGTGCTTGTGAATGAAAGGTAAATGAGTTTTGTATAACGACAAATACCTTGCCTGTGCTGTACACTCATTTAAATGATTTTTGCCTGTTGCTCTGGAAGAGGATAAGAGTAAAAATACTGAAAATCATTGGTGCTAGTGTACAAGCAAAAGGAAGACGTCATTTTCTTTGGGGTCAGAACGATAAAGGAGGAGAACAAAGTTTTGCTTCTAAAACGCCGGGGAAACGTGAAGATAGCATCCATAAATTGTCATAATATAATTGGCACAGCGTACAGGCCAATGACAATAACTGATTGTACTTAATTCTGTAAATGTTTGAACTTGCCTAACTGAATCTAGAACATTCACTGATTTTTAGAAAGCATCTGGAAAGGGTGGAATATAATGAAATCTTGAGGTTTGTTACAAACCAAGATACTTCTCACAAGCGGCTTCTTGCTCCTCCTCTCCCATCAAAAATTTCTCTTAGCCATGCTTTTGTCCCGACTGATGATAGCTCCGATTGATTACGCCTTCAAAAGTGCTTTTCAGCATTGTGACACTTTTCAGTAGTCAGCAGGATCTAGTCCATTTTTTTGAACTATTGAGATAATCTGAGAGTGGAATAAAATTATCACTCTAGTAAATACCACAACTTTAAGGCAAGAGGTAAAGTTGGAAAGAAGCAGTTCTGTATGCTTAGCCTGGAGAACTAAAGTTTTACAGTGTGGGGCATGCTTCTCTCCCAGTGGAACCGGGCAACATCTTTTTAAATTATCTTTAATTAAAATTGATTATAGAAAGACAGGGCTTATATGAAAATATCTTTCTGTAGACCAACTAATATAACACACTTCACAAATTTTTGGTACAACAAAAACCATTCTGATCTGAAGTAGAGACCACAAACTTCAAGCTAACTATTACTATTACGCTGAGCGGTGTCACTTATGTTTGCAGGTCTCCCTCCAGAAAGTGAAAGCGTGTGTGACAGTTGGGGCTCACCTCCTTTCTGCCCGCCCCCAAAAGCTAGCCAAGATATTGTATGATTCTTTTTCAACTAAGCTTCGATTAATTCTGACCCTACAGCTTGCATCCATGGAATAATCACAGAAATGGGCAACACTAATGTGTGTCTTGGGAGGCTGGAGCTTTAGTCCCACTTGTTTCAATGATGCAGCACGATTGGAATGATGGAACTGATGATAGGAACTTGCTGTGCTTATCCCCAGCATCCCAGGGATTTCTGTTGATACTGACTGTTGTTACGCTATTTGAAATGATGCAGTTTAAAAGCATGGAGGAGCATCCCGATTGTAAAGATGAGTATAGCGATAAAAATTATTTGCTTGGGTTTATCTGCTTAATGGGCGATTTGAGATAATAATCCACCATCTGATACGTACTTATCCTAAGCCAAGGTTTTAACAGGTTATGAGCAGATGACTTTCCTTGACTGGCTTACCTCTTTGCGTTGATATTCGTTGTGTTTATGTTACGTGTCTGGTTATCCTTCCATCTGCAGAATCTATGAAGTGTTTGATGTATTTGCATAAACAGTTTGATTCCTGAAAATATGTTCTGAATTAGATGCTGTTACTGTACAACAATAAACTAAAAACATTCTGAGATCATTTAAAGCCCTTTGTTTAATAACACAGTGAAAGTTATTAGACTGTTACAATACGTATATTAACATGGAAAAGCAGTTTGTAAAAATGAAGAGGTTTTTGTATTCTAGAATTATGGAGGGTATCAAATTGTTTGTGTCTTTAATTTTTTAGTAATTCTATTGATTCTATTGATTCTCGACAAAAGTGTTTCCCATCAAATCAGACATTCGGGTTTTGGTTTTCACAATGGCATCTCTAAAAGTCGTTTCCAGTGCAAATTTTAAGATTGAGGTTGAAAACATAAAATTAAAATTTCTGTTATTTCTGTTTGCCTCTTAGTTACAGTATTTAGTAGTCACAAGTTGCTTCTTGCAGCCATGATGACTGGAAATGCTTCATTTCCTCTAAAATAAAAGCTAGTATTTTTGTGGACTTGCCTGTCTTTACAACAAAAATAAAAATGGTTTAGAAACTTTTATGAGGTCATCAAATCTGTTAATACAAACATTATACATTCTTCTACTTCCCTCTGTTCCCCACAATTATTTGCATTGGAATTTATGTATGTATTTTAGTTTTTTCTACTCCTTTCAAGACTGGCAAATGAGACAAATATTGCCATTCAAAAGAAGATAATTACAGACATTATCTCTCCTTGATCTGTGCTTTGCATCTATATCTATGTATGAAAAATTTTCTATAGTCAGTAGAAAAAGATGCAAGCTAACATGTAGCATTTGGTAATTTGAATTTTCTTGATGTATCAAATACTTGTTCACTGTAAGTGCTAAACCATGAATAATTTAGTGGTTTTCTCTTTATAAAATACAACGTCTCCTGACTTTGAAGTTCAGGAGTCAACTCAAAAGTTTGCTGAGGCTGACTAATGATTCACCAGAGATTTTTGAGACATATTTTGTCATCAATTTAAAGCTTGGAGAGGTTTGCTGTTGCAGCCATCTGGTAATTCTTGGTTCTCTGGAGGAAAGAGAAACCTTTTGATAAAATAGATCAAAGCATTCTGCTCTTTCGGTGACTGATACCTATAAATAACTCACAAGTTTCTCAAAATGATTTCACAATACCTGTCTCATTTGCCAAACTTTTGCATTCTAGTTGCAATACAATATTGGTCATGAAATATATTTTAGTTATTTGTAGATCATTACTTAAATATTTTTGTTCATGGATAATTTACAGATGTGTTTTGTGAACCCAGAGGTTTCTAATTTACCAGATATGCTGTTGTGATCAATGAAATTGATGCTAAATCTTGGTGTTCTTTGTACTAACTCTCCAAGTAGGGGTACTCTCACAGACTGTTCTGCTGTACTACAGGCTGAAGCTATAGACGTACCTCAGGCTGTAGGTGATGTACAACTACAGTGTGAAAATATACATCAACTATTTCTTGAATTAATTATGTTAGCAATTGGCATTCTGGCCTGGGGCTTGCTGATGTTTGGCAGTGAAGAGCAAGTATGGAGGGATGGAGTTAGGACAGGAAATGTGTGCTGCAAGGTCCACTTGAAATGAGCTCAGTCTAATGCTGAGTTGTACGTACATGTTTGCCATTTGTTTGGGACTGGGTGGTGGTTTCTATTCCATCGGACGTTGCAGATGTGTGAATGCTGTGACCACACGTGTCTGCTCTTCTCAAAGAAGTTTTCTGCTCACAAGGGTGGCAGAAGCAGCCAAAACAGAATGATGAAATTGGCTTTTACCTTGCAAGTTATTCAGTTAAAGGGATGCCCGAGTGAGACTTGGTGCTGTGTTGCAGAAGAAGCAAGCGAGAGTATTAGCTTGTACTGCACCATGCCTCTGCGCACGAAGAGGGGCAGGGGTGAGTTGGGGTGAGTTAGTGCCCAGCGGAACTAAGGAGATGGGGTTATGCAGCCTCCTTGTTAGAATGTCATTGTAGTGACTGATGTGCTGATGAAAGAAAATAATTAAACCTCATATGGCACGCTCCCCTCACAGCCAATCAAGGAATTACAGAAATAGTTGATGTGTCCTTGGATGTAGCCTGTATCATCCTAACAACTACATACAGTGTATACATTAATATTTAACCATTCAGAGTATAGAAATGCTAAATGAATGCTATAGAAATTGCTAAATGACAGATAGTGAATGTTTGGTAGTTACCACAGGTTCTTCAAACTTGTTTTTTTTACACAGGTAGTTTGGAGAGAGGAAAAGTCTTCTAAAGAGGCTGAGATTTTAAGGACTTAATAAATTTAAAATGCAAACTAGATAATTAATATGGTACTAAATTCTCAGAAAATAGGTGGATGTGAGTTTGGTGACGGAATAGCTAATTTTTCACACTTTAAAATTTGCTCAAACTCATATTTAGTGCTTGTTGTTATTGTTTAAACTTTTCAGCCAGCTATTCAAGATAGGTCTGGTGCTCTTGTTTCTCACTAAGCCCAGGAACAGTGGTCAATTTGTAATTCCATACTTTGTAACCTTCTGCAGTTTTACCTTCTGTATCTCTGAATCAGATGCATATGCTTACCTGATTGTTTATCTCCTCATCTGCTCAACATGTGCTTCCTAGCAGCCACAGTTGAACATTTTTTTTTTCTTCTTTGTTTTTTTTTGCAGTGTGGGAACTTTGCTGTTTTGGTGGATGTTCATATTTTGCCTCAAGGCTCCAATAAAGACACCAGCTGGTTTTCAGATCATGAGAAAGAGGTACAACAAATATCACTTCTACTTCAAAAGCATATGGCTGCAGGGAAAATGTTGGATTGCCTTGAACTGTTCAGAATTTTGTGGTGTTATGAGAATATTGTTACTTATACCTAAGTGCCAGCAGTTGCTCTGGGATCCCTGAGTCAACCATATGTCATTTTTAGGTCATTAATGACCATTTTCAATTTGCCTTTTAATTTTTAAACTCTGTCTGTGTGCTGCATACATGCATGTGTGCAGGTTGTTTTGATTTTTCTGACTTCACTTTTAAGAAACATATTTCTCATGAATGTTTGTAAATTATCCTGAGTGATATAAAACAGATTGTACAGGTATAGTTTTTGCAGAGCATGTTGGTGAAGTACCTTTCTATTAATTGTGTTTTCTCACACATGTTGTATTTAGAGAGTGCAAGAAAACATAATAAATATGTGTGATAACCTATAATAGAACCGTTGTGTCTTATGACAAGAAACTCCCAGTCTTAAATTTTAAGTGTATCATTTGTATATTCTGACAATAGATTAAATTTTGGAAAACCAGTATGTCAGTGACCAGCAAAATCATGAAGGTAACTTTCATCTGATTCTGCGTGATTTCTACCACAATCTTGTGATGAGTTGCTGGCGAGAATTTTCCCCTATTTCAGTCTCTTGTGGAAATCTGAGAAGTCCCCTATTGAAAACGAATGCAGGACGTGTTTCAAATGCCTGTGGACTTTCCCGCAAGTCTCCGTTACAGTAATTTGCAGCAGATAGCTTTCCTAATGATGGCATAATTAACTTGTCACTGCAGAACATAACATCCCTGTACGCCTCAAAGTAATACATTTAAATAAAATTAAAAGAAACAAATTAATATCCTGATGGAGTGAAAGTAAAATATTTAACAGCATGTGGTTCATCCAATTTGTGCTTGTTAAGCTGAGACAGAAGAAAAGAGTGAAAATCTTAGACTTCTTTTTTCTGACTCGATGAATATTCCTTACCTCTTCTATTTGTAATCAGTTTTATGATCCTGGTTATCTGACTTCTAAGTGTTTTCAAGATGTATTTTGTAAGACTGCCAAAACAAAAGATATGAATTTCAGGAAATTAGATCACGATTGGTTTAATGAAGAGGCATGACAGGGCAGCATTCGTTACATTTCTGTGACCACACGTTCTGAGTGAAGAACAAAGGTTGCATATTTTCGACAACTGAGAAGTGTGATTCCAATGGCTTTACAATTTGCTTCCTGAAATCCGATGCAGAATCTTTGTTAGAGTGGAAAGAAAAAGGTCAGTAAGGTATTACAGGCAAATTCTGCCTATTTTTTTTTTATAATGAGAGCTTTTACGTATTCATTGCAAGCATTTTTCCACAATTTTTATTATTGCCAAATTCTGAAAACTACTGAGGGTGGTACAGGCCTCTTTGCTTGTCAGCGGGAACAGCAAATGCCTCTTGGAGCCCTTGTAACACAAACACGCTTTCTGCTGCTCCCTCCTTACCCTGGAAGAAGAAGTCAGCGGCTGCCTTGTGTAGCGAATGGAGCCCGGCAGCGCGATCCCGAGCGGGAGGCGGGAGCAGTGCAGTGCCTTCGGCTGCCAAGTCCTGCTCTAGAGCCTGGGTTGTGTGGAGCAGGCTGGGAACAAAACAAGAGCATAAGGTGACCTAGAAAATACAGTACTAGTCGTCTGGCTGGGCGTCGTAAAGAGCAGAGTTTGCGCACTGCTGGCACTCGAGTTGTGCGGAGAGTCAGCTGAGAGGTGCAAATAGAGGCATTTGGGAGCTTTTCTTTCTTTTTGCCCTTCAAATCTCTCTGCCCTTTCTGTTCTCTCTTTTCTCCTGGTTGAAGTTTGATGCTGATCGCTCTTTGTGTCATTGCTATGATGTCTCCATATACATACAGAAAGACTCAGTTACAAGTTCTCTTTGGCAGGAAAATACACAGAGACAATTCTCCTGAAACCTGCTCTTGTTCATGCTTACTTAGGTCTAGGTCTGTATAGTTCTTTGTGGAGGACCCTTCAAATAATATTTCCATAAGCATAACAACTCAAATATTTTCCATGTAAATTAAGGAAGTGCATGCTAATCTTTATTGTTGCAGAAGGAACCAAATACAGACTGTGTTTCCGCTGCTTTCTAGGCCTTTTCATTCTGACACGAATGCATGGGACTGTGAAGGAATGTGTAATGAGATCACTTTAATGAGTTAAACAGAAGAATGAGTAAATACAGTATTTTATAATTGTACTCTTCAAGCAGAAAGGAAAATGTATTTCGTACTGTAAGGAGAAAATACTGCTTGTGGTTGACCAATATATGTGCATTGCTTTCATTTAGAGCCATAGGTTAAAAATTTGTTGCTCTGCATAGTTTCTAGATTAATCAAAAGGAAATTTCAAGCCAAGATATTTTAGTTGAGGTAGTACTAGTGTAATTTTCTTTATTGTCCAAACACTGTAAAAAGGTAAAATGATATTTTTGTGTGCCACAAAGTATCGTTTCTGTGAGCACATAGTTATGCACAATGGAAGATGAGAATGCTGAGGGAAGTGTATCAAATATGTGTGTATGTATTAATCTGAAAATTTATTCTGATATTCAAGAGATTATTTTTTGCTTTTAATTCCACATTTTCTATGTGGTTTTTATAGTGCTTTGGTAAAGGTAGTATGAACAATATGAATTAGAAGCAGAAAAATCAAAATGAACTGTAGAAGTTATGTTGCTGTGACCTACTTAGCTCTGAGTCTTCCCCTCAAAGTTACTGTGAATTGAAACAGAATATCCTGCAGAGAAATGGTGTTTTGACAATTCCTGGGAGGATTTTTACTAATTCTTTCCTCAAGTACCTAATGTCATGATATGTTTTTAACATGTATTTTTTCCTAATTTGTATACAGCATGAAATAGTTCACTATTAAAAATTATTAATATTATAATATAATGTATTTCATTTACCAATTTCGTAATGTACTTTCTCTCTGGTTTTGTAGCAAAATTGTTTGATTCCCCCCATCCTGCTTCCTATTCATTCCCTAAATTAGTGCTTCACCTCATTGCAATACCTCAGTACATAATTGCAGATGGTGTTTTTCCTGTTTATGGGAGAGGGGCTGATTTTGGTATTGATTTCTGCCGTGTGTCTGTGGGCACGTGTGTAGATTTAGATCTCTACAGAGGCCAATGTTTGTTCTTTCAGGAGGTCTGCATGCTGCTGGAAGAAGTTGTTGCTACAAGGGTCAAACACTACTTGGAAGCACCTAAACAGCGTGGTCAATGGAAAGCAATGGAACATGCATCATCTGGTCCTCTGTTTCTTACAGGTAAAATAAGTTGTTTAACTTATGGTGAAATAAAGTAAGATTAAGTATGGTGGAAACTGCTGTTCTTAATTTTTTTTTTCATGAAAAATATACCGTTTTTTTTGGAATGCCAGTAGGCCAGAAATAGCCAGTGTTTGGGTCTGTAATAACTTTAAAGCTATGTTGATGAAGAAATTGTGTTTTAATTTTCAGTGATAGTGAAAAAATAACATGATGTACGTGCTATTAGTATGAGAGCCTATCGTTAGAATTAAAAAGAATAGATACTATAATCCTGGGTCCTCCAAAGTTGATGGAAATCTTGTTGGTTTGTGAAGTCTCCTACCCACTTGAACATTTAGTTTAGAAGTTTTTAAATTAAGAAATGATACCTTCACTTCTCCCTCTTCTGACAATCCGTTCAGTCTTGAAATTTTGCTGTGATGTGAGAAACAACTTTTGTCGTTTCACCGGTGTTACTGCAGGCTTGGCAGTAGCGTCGATGACATCGGGAGTAATTACTGTTCAGAAGAGAACAGTAGTAAGAGCATTTACCCAGCTGGAATTTTTTATGTGTGTGTGTCAAGATGGGGAGACTAAAAGGTGCAATTTTAGTACGTGTGTGTTTAAAACTAAAGCTAATTCTCACTCTAGAGCTTGTGTTCTAATGTTAGATCAGCTTTGGGGCTAAATGGCTTGCCAGTTTTTGTTTAATGTTATTTCACTAGCTGTTGTGGTCATCATGGTGGGTTTTACAGTTGATAGGTTTATCTGTTGGTGTTATATCACACAAGAAATATATTTTTTAATAGTTCTTAGGAAATAATCACTTCTTTCTTATTGTTACCAGCTTGGAGCATGTTATAAACTTGTTGCAGAAGAGAAGGGCTGCAGTGGTAAAGCCCTGTGTTGGCTATGGTTTCTCATATTTCCTTAAAGATATTGAAATAGATCTCTATTGAAATATGAATTCTGCAACAAATGTAGTTTCATACTTTAAATATACAGTATACTGATGCAATTTTTTTTATTTGATGTATATTAACAATTTTAAACAGGTTAAATACTGTATGATTGGCTTATTACTGCAAAATTTTAGGCATGTATGAGAGCCAGATTATTATGGCAGGACAGGAGAGGTTTTTTCCACCCACTTTCAGATCCCTATACTTTTCTGGTTTTGAGTGAACAAGTAGAATTTTCTTACAGTGGAATCGGGGGACATTACAGAGGGTGAGATCAGAAATTCTGAGTTTTGTTGAGGTTTTTTGTGTTTTCTTTTACCAAGTGGTATTTTTCATTGTTTATTTTTCAAGATTCTTGCCTCAGTTAAAGTGGATTTTCAAAAACAATGATTTTTCTGAGATAAATCTGCCAGACATAATAATTATTTTTATACATGTAGGCAGATGCAACACTAATCTGAGGGTGTTAGTGAAATTTTAAGGTCTTATATTTTCTTCTGTATCCTGAATTTTGCAGTAAAAATATTCGTAAGCTGTCCCAAGGTTGTGAACTGATCTTCTGCTTGACTCTTCTCCCGATTTCCTGAAAATGAAAAACTTAAGAGTACTAATTTGAGGAGTTCATCAGTAATACCTTTGACAGATTAAAGAATATTTACTTTGGATGAGGCAGAATTACTGTTCCATCAGTTTTCCACAGTTAATCTCATTGTCATTAATTAACACTAAAGAAATAAAGGAAGAAAACAGCCTGTGATAACGAACCTTCATGTTGAATTTAATTTCCAAATCCACCTCTTTTCTCTCAGCCTGCTTTGCTCAAGGCTGTAATTTCTAAGAATGGAGTGCTTTGTTCGAGTCCAAGAATCAAGTTTATTCAAGTTGTATTCAAGTCTGTTCTTACCCGAGAAGGAAATAACGCCAGAGGTGGGTGTTTGCTGGAGCAGCTGGGACCTACCTCTGAGGGACCGACCCTTTTAGGTGGGCCACAGCTCTAACAGTCTTTAGCAGTTAAACCTCATGTGTTTTGCCTTCCTCTCTCGGATCAGGTTCTGTCTGCAGAGTCTTTTTGTCCTTTTTCACAAAGAGATGAAGTGCAGGATACCTGGCCAGTGTTTGCCGATGTTTTGTAGCGTACAAAGGAACACGCAAGCTTGCTCCGTGGCTAACTGCACACGCACGCTGTAGGTGCTGCTGGTGAAGTGTTTAAGCTTGCAGCTGCTGTTGCATTTGGAGGGTATCAAAAGCTTCTGAGCTTTTCAAACCGAATGTGGTTTCTTTTGCTCCAAGTTCTGCAAGCCTGTGCCTAGGGTTTCACTGCTGTAAAGCTGCCACTATTATAAGGAAGAACGTATCTACAGACAGAATGTTAAGATGCTTATTAGCTGTTTATTTACTATTCCAAGTATTCCAGGTCAGCATTCCACCCCTGTTTGAATTTCCGTCTTTTCAGGACAATTTTAGTTAGTTTGTCCTCCACATTGCAGGAGGTATTCAAAATGTATTAGAATCAGAATTATTAGACCAGTATTAGGATTGTAGACTACCTCTAATATCAAAGCATGTTGGATTAGGATTTTCTTCAGAAATGGAAGCCAAGCCGCTTTACTTGGATGGGCAAATCTTGTCCTGATGTCTAGATCTGTGGAGCAGAGAAGACTCTTCTTAAGCTGGCTACCGTAACTCTTTTGAAGAGAAAACTTTCACCTATCACAATTTCTTGTTAGGATTCATGTTATATTATGTTTAATATTAAAATTATTTAATACCACCTTTCAGTTTTGTGGCACGGAATATAAATATCCGTGCATGTTACTTGTTAATTTACATTTCTTTTTCATTTAAGTTACACCCACACAGCAGTGTGTGGTGGGTCGCATACCATCTCATTAGGAAATCTGTGGGTGTTACACACAGGAGAAGAAAGAAAGAAAGAATGGAAAAATGAGAGAAAGTAGCCAAGACAAGCAAGTTCTTCCTATTCTTCCTTCTGTCTGAACAATTTCCCCACCCCTCCCAAATGGCCAGTATGAACAATTTGCCAAAGTAAGCTTTAATTTAGTCTTTGGTCATAGACTTTGGTATAAATTCTCTCTCCCTGTGTTTAATTAATGTCCAGAAGTGTTTGATTTTGGTTTCTTTATTTTTTTAAGAGAAAATGAAAATAGGGTAGACTTTCAAAGGTTTAATTTTGCATGCATCAAATCTGCATGGCCAAAATCACGCGAGAAGGGCAGCCATGGGGTGTGGTTCGTCTGTGTTATTTGAAGTCCAGTGAACGTAAGCCATCTGATAACAAAACGTGTGTATTAGTGAAATTCTCTCATTAAAACACACAAACAAAAAAACTACTTTATAAATGTATAACCTTTAAAGTGAGAAGTTGCATTTTTATATATATACATCACTCATTTTCCCTTTGCCCCATTTGTGCTCTCCGTAGCACATACTGGTTTTTAGCGATGAAGTCAAGCCTGTTGACGTGTCGTAATGCTCACCCACTGTAGACTTCGGCAAGCTAAATCAGAGCCTGTTTTTTCATGTTCCACAAAAGGTGGCTGGTTTGGATGAAGAGCAATGAGAATTAAGTAACAAGAGGCTAAAGAGGACCAAGCAGAAATATTAAATACGGGAGAATGACAAGGGGAGGCCTGTGGAAAGTTCAGGAAAAAGGCAAAGTTTACATGGGCACAGAGGAAACAAAAAGGAGGATGTGGAAAGGCTGGCAGAAATGTCCATGTTAGAAATGGAAGGGCTGAAGGAAGGAAGAAAGTATCTTCTAAATTGACCTTCTTCCCCCTCTTGAGGGAGGAAAAAGTTAACTATTTCTCCTACAAGTAATTTTCAAATCTTTTTTCATTTTTTCTCTAGCATCCTTACTGTTTTGCTTGGCTTGAGGGTGGAACATTTTCCTCTGACTTCAGATCTTTTTATTGCACAGTCTCTTCTACCGTGAAACTAGTTAGAGATCATGCTGTCACATGGCACAGTGAGATCCCAGCTTGATTTTATCTACTTTCTCTGGGATTGTGTATTTATTATTTTTTTAATATCTATTTTATCCTAATTTTGTCAGGAAATGGGGCTTACTGTGGTCATGTTTTTTCTGTGGGCTTGTGTGTCTGTCCATCTTTTCCCCGGTTGCTTTTTGCAAATGTGATTGAACTTTATTAACAGGTAGATGTCTTGGACAGTAAGTTTTCATACATTAAGTTCTGATATGCTTACTCAAATGAGAAACTGGAAGTGCAAGTGCTATTAAGAATAGTTCAGTACAAAGATCTGGAGTCAAAGTTCCTGTCTTATTTAGTATAAAAAAACGCATAAGATGCAATTTTGTAAGAAAATACATTTCTGTGCTTATGAAACTATTTGTTTGGCTCCTATAAGAACAGAAAGAATACACGATAAAATATTCCGGTAAATATTCCAAACTGGTTTGGCCTTGCATTTTAACTTGAATATTATGATGTTTTTAAGGAAAAAAAACTTTTCAGACTGCCCTAGTGTGCTTTAGGAGTGTTCTCTGTTACTGTAGAATGTGAATTGTTTAAGATGTTTGTAGGGTATGTTCCACATTACAATCCTGAGCAGCAAAACTGATTTATTCCCACCCTGCCAGTTGTTAACTTTTGCTTCTGTGCCGTGAAACAGTGTTTTGGTTGGTTTTAACTAGAATCATTTCATCAGTCTTGCTTAAAAAGCAGCTCCACAAATGAGTGCAACTGGAGGAAAATTAAGCAGTGGCAGGTAGGGTACCGTTAAGGGACTGAGGAGGACAGAAGTCTTTTAAATGAACTTTGATGTTTGCAGTTGCATGTTGTAACTTCTGCCTCTCAAATGAATTATGTTGCAGCTTCTTTACAATGGACTCATTTATTATTTGTGGCCAAATCCTGCAGATCTTTGTGAACTTTAAATGTACATTCATCTGTCTGTGACAACAAACCCTCATAGCTCCATGAAATATGCAGTAACTTATGCAATAACTTACAAAAAATGTTTTGATTAGTATCTTGCACTTAATATTTCCTGTATTTGCTTTAGATTACTTTT